TAAGCCTTAAATGTCAACTATACATCGGATTGGTTTCTTCTTTAAATTATAAAAAAGTAAAAATATGAATGGTGTTATAATGTTATACTAAAACTAAAATAATGGAAAAACCCTTAAGATAACATGTAGAAAGAAAAAAACATCTTAAGCATGCAGAATTACATAAGTGGACTTTGAACGATTAATTGCCGCTTTGAACGATTACGTAATTGTGGCATCCATAATTGTAATTGCGATTAGAAATTCGATTAATTGTGCAGCCCTAATAGACACTCATGAAATGCATCAAAGAATGAAATAATTATGCCATTCTACTCAATCCCAACTTCAGCAACGAGGGAGGTTGAACTCAATCTATATTTTAGATGTCTTTAAAGTGTATACTTGTATACATTTTAAAATAAAATAATTTGAATGAGGTAATATGAGCAAATTAACTATGTAATGGTATGTATTATATTCAAACTGAAATCCAAAAAAATGAACCCTCACACCACAACAGCAGTGGGCTTGTGTAAATGAGACAGTGATTGTTAAGTGTGGATGAAATATTCATCTTGAAAGGCCACATAAAGAACCTATTATACCCAGCGGGCTGCATGAGGAACTCAAAAGGGAGTCTGTTTGAATTGAGCCCATAGAATCTGCTGCTCTACCGTTTGCATTCTAATTGAGGGTTTAGTAAACATGGAGCAGATGCAGCTTGGTAAAACAGCAGATTTCTGACCAAAAAAACCCACACAAAAACATGAAAATGGAATTATGACACATGGAGAGCTGCTAATCAGACTGCATTCTTGGATTATGCCCAGTACTTTAACATTGGGATGCTCCCTGGTGTATACTTGAATCATTTTGTCTCTGATTAGATGAGTCTGTTTAAAAAACTGCAGACCTGTTCAGTCCTCACAGTGTGCACAGAAGGTGGAAAATGGTTGCGGGGAATATGTTGGACCGTAATGGATTTTTTGACATGACGCAGTGCCCCCTAGTAACATCCGGCTAGACTGCAACTTGCTATGAATATAATTTCCAGATGGGTAAAACATTTTAACCTGTGCCTGAAATAGCTTGAATTACAGACTACTGCAGAAAATGTAGCTCAACGTGTGGATGAGAGTACGACAACAGCAAATCATCTTCCTTCTGATGCAACCAGGAATCCATAGGCCAAATCAGATGAACAGATTGAGTATACTTGTATTGATCCAGCCACAGTGTATTATTGATAACTAATTTAGCAAATGAATTGTTTTGAGAGATGCTGCCTGCTTTATTAATGAGGTTCATTCAAAAGCACTGCTCCGGTCAGCTGAATTACATTAGAGATGTCATAGAGAGGTCATTACAGGGAGACTTACCGACGGCTGGAGCGTTGATGCAGAGCTCTCTAGCCAACAGTAGGAAGGTCTTTCCCAGAATGTAAACATTAACCTACAACAATAAGAAATAGAACTGAAAGGTCTGAATTATTCAATGGGTACATTTTCCATGTTAACGATAATTGATCCTTCAGACGAGGATGTTCCACAATTAAACATGTTCCATAATTAGTCTTTAAAACAAAGTTGGTTTGCGGCCTCTTATGCTCACAAAGGCATAAACAATAATACAGTAAAAAACAATATCTTGCCCCAAAATATTTGAATGGTAGTGTGTGTCTATTCATATATATATATATATATATATATATATATATTTACATTTACATACATTTAGTAATTTAGCAGTCTTTTATTCCGAGTGACTTACAAATGAGGACAATGGAAGCAATCACTATATATATATATATATATATATACACACACACACAAAACTTCAGACACCCCCTAATAATGACGAGGGGTTATGACTTGAGCACTAGGTCCCTAGTTAGCCTGGCATCCAGGCAGGATAAGTTGTGTTCTCGTCAGATTTGGGTGTGGCTACACTTGCTAAAGATTCATGGCATATTTGAGCCTCTGCCCCAAACGTCCAGTGTCTGTTCTATAGCAGATCCAGCTCAGTGGACAGCTGGGGAGTAAAAATAACATTACACCAGTGCTTAAGCACAGAAATATCTTGCCCTAAAATAACTACTAATAAAAACTATAGAGTATATACTGTCATAAAGACAATATTGTGTATTGTTTCACAAACAAAATGTAGCCTCATATCACCTACTTGCTGTGTAATACAGCAATAAGGCATTAAAAGATGTGCATTGCAGAGGTTTTATGCTCTTATTGTAAAATCACTGCCTTGAATGTCTTAGTGATTTATTAAATAATACATAATTAATTCTATATGCCGTTAAGTGGTGTGTGAGTATAATAGCTTCGTACATGAATTATCCAATCAGATTTCAGAGTTACAACATTTTATAAATCACAACTACCTGCATTTATATCTGTGTAAATCACTGAAATGTTAACCAGTTTGGCCTAATAAATGAAGAGAATCTATGCTAGTATATGAGATGAACTGAAGCTGGAAATATAACAGAATTTCTGACATTATTGCCCAACACTGGCATCTGCTTACCTGTTCTATCATATGCAATACCTCATACAGTATTTCTTTCATATGGTCATATGGAGGGTATAAAAGATTATTTCAAGATTGAACATCATGCAACTTAGCCACAGCTGCTTAAGTTGCGCCATGTTATTCAGAGTAAGTATTGTAGAAAAAAAATATGAAAGGAACGGAAATGAAAGAAATCCAACCTGTAAAAGATCACTGAGGTCCAGAAGCATGTCTGCACATCAGTTAAGGGAAGAAGAATACAAAACAGCTAGATTATATCATAAAAAAGGGTTGAAAGTGTGATAAAGATCTAAACATCTTTGTCTAACTATACAGCTAACAATAAGAAGTCAATCCTGCTCCTAAATCAATCCTGGTCACAGTGATTAATTTAACATTGGACGGCTCAGTACTGATCATCTCTACATCAACAGGCTTCGGCATGCAGGATCTCCTTATCTCTGCAAGAGATTCACCCTGACCATCTGTTATTGCTCACCTGAGCAGCACACACACACCTGAGGCACGTGTCTCCATGGTGACTAATGCCCCCTTTAGCAAAGAGATTAGCATCACTACAAGACAAGCTAATCCCACTTTATCAGGAGTCTGACGGCCTTAATTACAGCCTGCTGTGAAAGACAGAGAGTATTTATACTTATTTAAAATTAAAGTGATTAAGACTGACATCAGTGATATTGATAACTGTCTTATCTCTTAAATGCTACAAGACCAGATATGAACCATTGACAAAAACTGCAGATATACTGCAGGGGTCAAAATTATATTGATAGCAGCATCTAAAAAAAAGGACATTTCTTTAAATAGGTCATGAACTGCATTTTTTTTTAAATTATTTCATAATGTTTGTTGAGTTGCACTTATAATATAAAATTGTCAGAATTTTGAAATAAAAGGGCATTTAATTTCTACCCTGATTTTAGCCCTCTGATTTGAACGCTCTGTTGAAGGGTGAGTGGGCGTGTCTGCTGTGAGACTTCAATGGAGACGCCCGTTGCTATGACTGGCTGACATAAACAATGAGTATTACTTGTGGAGTTCTCTCTAAAACTTTTACTATGTTTTTACTATTACAGCTGTTGAGATTATCTATTAGTGAAAAGTGTTGATTATAGCATTATATTTAGATCTACTCCCGTCGCATGAAAGGTTCATTGTAGTTGATAAAACTGAGCACATGAATGCAGCAATCTCGTCATTGTAAGATGCATGCATTTGAAGGGATCCCTCTATTTAGAACTGGGCATTTAATGTACCATTAAGCAAAAAAAAAAAAAAAACAAGAATCTGATGATGAGCATCTGAAAATCATGACCTGTCCACCCAACAATTGCCAGATCAGGTCAGTGAAGCTCACTGAATCAATGTTTGCAGAACAACAGGCAATCTTCATCTTAAAGGACCGGTCTAAACAAGATGTGAGGCTGCTAGAAACACTCCAAAAAGTTAAAACACTGCTAAATGGCTACATTGAACAAGAAAATACTTGTAATACTGTAAATACTTTAGTTAAGAATTATTTTAAAATACTTAAATACTTTGTAAAAATACTTAATTTAGTTGAACACTAATACAGTTGTCCAAATAATTCTGTTTATCGTATATCACAACGATGCATGAGATAAATGTATGGATGTTTGATGAGGCAAAGCCGAACAGTACACATTTAAAAATAGGTCAATATTTGGAATGGGTTTGGTGGTCTGTAAAGTACTGGACAACTTCTTTTAGTGTCTGCTCTTTAATGTGAAGTACCGTATCTTAGCATGCATCTGAAAGAGCCCCACCCAGAGACAGGTAACAATTCTCCTTTGGCAACTCTAAACGGCACACCAGGTACCCAGTCAGGCCTGACGCTACACAAAAGCAGAGTGGAGATCTGGGTGTGACCCAAACAGACACATAGGATGGTGCTTGTCGGTGTGAGTAAGAGTCTGTCTGTTTGTGAGACAGAGAGTGAATGCAGTGCTGTAACACTATCCAGATGTGCTGTGTTGTAACACAGGTGTGGCGAGTCTCAAACACACATAATCTGAGAACAGAATTATGACAGGTTGAGGAAAAAACTAAAATGTGGAACAGGGGAGTGATATTTCCCTCAACTATTACTTCAAAATTATACTTCAGTCTCTCAAAAAAGTTTCCCCTTTTTTAAAACAGTATTCACAAGGAATTCGACTTAGGTCAAATAAGTGTCACGTCAGTAGCTTTTGTACACAACCGGGACAGAGACTGAAAATCTGGGCTGTTTTCCATGATTTACTCCAGGGAACATCCTCTGAGATTCCGAAAGGTGCAGTAAACACTCTTCCCCTTCCTCTCTTTCTTCTCTGACAGCATATTGCAGCACTATTGTTTTCACATCCTGACACGTCTCTTCAGACCCTAAACCAGGTTTTCCCTAGGGAAAGTATGGACTGATAAAAGAGACTATCTTAGACCAGCATGAATTTCTATGCTGGTCCACGCTGGTTTATGCTGGTTTGGTTCTGGTCCAACTTCTGATGATACTGGCTAACCAAAAAAATCTTGCTTATTCATTTAGTTGCTTATAACAGCAACCAAAACATTTTATTACACACACAAATACATATATAATGTTATATATGAAGTTCACATTTTATATATTGATATATTGAGTATATAAACATTATATATATATTGAACCCATGACTACAGGATTGAGTTAAAGGATTCTTGCTGTTAAAGACCTGAGATTTACTCTTATTTTCCTAAATTTGCTGTAACCTAATTTGGATAATGTGCCTAACCTTATTTCGATTGTGCACACTTTCCTCCATGGATTACCAAGTGTTTAACTTGGGTTTCACACCCTAGGGATCATTGTGAGAAGGATACGTGGCGTTCCCTCCGTCCTGCAGACCAGGTAGAGGCAGGCGGCTATGACATGTGTCATCTTTCGCCCTCGTGTCAAGTGTTTGCTCACCACCATCTTGAAGAAATTAAAGGCTGTGTCCAGGCAGTGCTGGTTCAGCTGCAGCTGGCTGCCGAGGTTGTGTATCTGTCGTTTCCCTAGAGACAGGACACACATATGCATCAGATTGAGCAAACATACACAGATCCACACATGCACGCTCGTGCACCAAGGCATGACTTCACACGCAGGTGTTTGGTTTTCCAGTAGCACTGATGTCATGAGAACGGTGCACAGCTAGACAGGCATTTAATGGAGCCTGGAAGTGAAAAAAGGCAGAAAGACAGCTGTTTTACGTCTCATATGAGGCCACGTCCCTCTTTTCCCTTCTTTCACAGTCGCTCATACATTTACTCCTTCACAGAGGATCTCAAAACAGGCCAAGTTGTAATTCACTGGACGCACAGAATAAATCAGTCTGCCCTGAAATCCCACGTCGGGCTACGATGTGTTTAACATATTCAAATCCACAGTCCAGTGGGCTATCTGGCAGATTTCTGTTTACTTAACACATCATTTAACAAAAGACCTTGTTCACCCAGACAGTGAAGGTTTCCCACATTGTAAACAATGAGAATGATTTAGGCCGCTTCACCATGTAATACATGCAAAGCTGTTTTGCTGGGCAGAAAGGCTACAGATGTGATGAGTTTGGCATGTTCCAGTCATTCATTATGCTTGAAACTCCACATGTAGATGTGTTTATAAGAAACAACTGTTTTCATCAATCTGTCCTCTAAATGTGCAAATATGTGATAATGAGTTTAGCAGATGCATAGACGCAACAAACTTTTTATTTAGCCCAATGATTCTCAAACTGGAAACCGATGATACCCAGGGTGTGGCAAAGAGGTCCTTGGAAACTTTTTTTGGAAAAAAAAGAGAATTTTTTATTATTTATAATTTATTTGCCTTATTTTGCTTTTATAAATACTGTTTAGGAATGAATTTAATTAATTTAATTAGTAAACAACACACAGTCTTTATAATCACACTTGGGGGACCCCATTTGGGGGTCCTTGGCATCAGTAAGTATGTAAACTTTTGCTTTGCTTTACTTTTTACCAATGGTATAGACAGAGCCACGTGTTTAAGTGGATGTTTGACTTTTTGTTCCCCAACTGCGGAGCCCAGAAGCTACAGTGTCAAGTGTCATGTTGGCAGGCCAAGGCCAAAAATAACTCAAAAAGCTTTTAAGAGCATAATCCTTCAACTTCGGAAGCACTGTGTGCCAACTCTCTGATACATGCTCCAGACCTGTCTAATCCCAGAGTATTTTTCACGCTGCACATGCCATTGGATTATCAGCCAGGTCTGCGGTGACCTCTCTGAATGACAGCAGAATTACATAACGGCCACAACACTGCAGGGACACGGGACACCTTATTTAATGAATGAAATCTTGTGTTTGTGACCACAGAGACACTTTCATAAATCAGAACGGTTTACCAGAACCTTTTAAAACTAAAACTACCTGCCAGACATATTCATAAGCACTATTATGTGTCACTCATTTAAAAAGTTTTTGATCTCTTATGAGAAGCTTCTGTGAGTCTGAAATTGAATCATGTGTTTATACAGTTGGTGACCTTGATTCTCAAAGTATTTTGCTCTCAGTTAAAGTTAAAGCACAGAAAACGCACCAGGACAGACAGGTGTAATTGAGAAATTTATAATATAATGCCACAAAACTCACTGCTCTCACAGCACCTCTGATTCATATACCAAGTACATATTTACACAATGCCATGCCTTATATTTGCTAAATCAACACACACCTGGAACCCAAAGACATTTATCAGGCAGCTCTATTAAAAAGATCAATAGTTAATTACGTCTTGTATGTTTTTCAGAAAAGTGCAGATGCAAATGATGTAAATTTAATTAGCACTTGAGATGTAACTGGGTCAGAAATTAATGTAGATGATTTATTGAAACATAAAATTAAAGGAATATGCATCCACAAGAATACAATATGTGATGCATCTAATGGCACTATATTTGATTTGAATTTAAATTATAGTCTATCATATGGCTTTGTTCCAGAAGATAAAGAATATAATGCAAAAGCTACTTTTATTTTACATTTATGGTCCTTTATTCATTTTTTGCTTCATTCACTTTCATTATATAGAAGAGAGTAGCCAGGACATTCTTTAAAAAATCACCTTTTGTGCTTAACATAAGAAAGAAAGTCATACGGATTTAGAACGGCATGAGTGTGAGTAAATAATGACAGACCTTTCAATTTAGGGTGAACTGTCTCTTTAAGTCTGCATGTTTTATAAACCTTGATCATCCACTGACTGCACCTACACTCCACTGCTGACTAATATAAAGGTGTGCCTACCGTTCTGGAGTGTCTGAGCTCGCGATTCTTTTCCCAGACTTGTGTGGAACCCACTACCCAAGACCGGAGCTTTGGAAGTACCTAAAAAAGAAACAAAAAATACAATTTATTGTGTTAAAGGGCAAGCTGAAATCAGACAATTACATTGAATAGGAATAGTTTTGGCTTATAGTATATAAACAGGTGTACAAATAAAAGCCTATTATTGACCAGCGACATTTTAAGGCTTTAAATACAGCTCTAGCGCACAGAGGATGTCTGTGTAAAAACAGCATTATATTGTATTACTCCAGTGACACCTATCGGGTGCCAATGTCTCTACACAAGTGTTACTATAACAACCAAAATGGAGATTGATTGACACACCTGAGACTGATAACCAAGTCAGAGGAGCTCGGAGGAGAGTGACAGGACGATACAAATGAACCACAACTCTATTGGCTTCCCTCTCAGTAGCATATTGCTCAATTATATATATTTTTCTAGCTAGTGTTTTTGTCAAATCATGGATGTTAGCTTCTGCTTTGGGTAAGTTTCTGTGACCAATTTACAACACATGAATATGCAAAGATGTAACACATCATATTGAATCACAAAACTGACACGCAGAACTGATATACCACAGGCTTCTTCTCTTCATGTGCTTTCAACTGTGCGATGTGAATGGAAGTTATGTTGCCACTGATCCACAAGGTCTGTTTATAGTGATGAACAACATTTCAACATATAATAGTACATTGTTAAAGCCAACGCTGTAATGAATTTTAATGCTGCAGGTGCCATTGAGACCGAATGTCGCGATCGATATTTCTGGGTGTCTGTTGATGTGGGCTTTGCAGGCCATGTCCCAAGATTTGAGGCTGTAGGTATGGTGCTATGGCTTGACAATAATCTCTACCACAAATGATCACACATTATATTTTAATTCTCATATCAGTGCATATTTTTTAAGTTGAAAATGGAGTGCATATCATTAGTGAGGATCATGCATCCATGTGTGGCTACACATTGAACAACTTGAATGGCCGGGCATCTCTGAGAGCTTCCTATTTCTCCTGCCACACCGAAAATAAGGCAAGAGTTTCATTAAAAAAAAAAAAAGACCAAAGACAAAACTGCATTGATTAGTTCTAGAACTATCAGATCTATGGGTCTTGATTATGGCTTTTTGAGAACATTGTTTTCTGTTGTATGATGTCTTGTAGAATGACAGCAACTTCCTTTTCAAGCTGAATGTTGTTTTGACTGACCATATGGGGAGAGAAAATAAATACACTCTCACCGAAAACTGCACACTGCCCATTGACTGGTCCTCAAAAGAGATCCTCTGTGAAGAAAACTACATAGAGGTAGGACTGTTCAAGGCAGGCAATGTAAACCCTGTGTGGTATGCAGCTGTGTTGCTATTGTTAATTATTAAAAACGGTTTCTATTAATTTAAATAAAGCTGGAATAAAATATAAATATATTGGATGAAAAACTTAAAGGAAAATTAGAAAAAAAAAAAGTTCGTTAAAATACTAAAATTATTAAAATTGAAATAAAGGTAAACATAGGTATTAAAAAATAAGCACATAGGAAAATGACTCAAATTTGAATGAAAACTGAAAATATATAAATAAAAGCTAATTCAAAATATTAATAAATACTACAGTTGTACATAAATAATACTAAAGCTGGTCAGCAATATCTGGTTTTCTCTAAACTAGGTGACGGTGGCGAGAGATATACCCTGCAGATCTGATAAACACAACACTCCCTGGCTGGCTGCTCTTGCTTTCGTAAGAAATATTGACACTTTAAATGCATGTGTGAACTTCTAAGAATTTGAATTTCTTATTGCCAGCTCTGTATCTCCACTTGTAGGCCCAGAGATCTGCCATCTCCGAGTGGCAGATAATGTTCCTGAATCAGGACTTGCAGCGCTTGGATGCGATGTCTATCTCTGATGCCAGGCGAATGGGATACATGCTGGATTCCACTCCAAACAGGGTGGTCTTTCGCTCTGCCTACAATCAGACACATTCAACAATCACAGAGGCAGGTGAAACTAAAAGGGATAGTTCACATCAAAATTCTGTCATTATTTACACACCCTTAAGTCATTCTAAACCAGTATGACTGAAGTTCTTCAGTGGAATACAAAAGATATTTTCAAAAATGTCTCCGTATGTTTTGTACATATACTACCGTTCAAAGGTTTGGGTTCGGTAAGATTTTTAAAATGTCTTTGTGAACTATCCCTTTAAATGTTAATTGTGCAGGTTCCACCATGATTTTAACATGAAGGCTGAAACCAGCCTTGTTGTTTCCTCAGATTGATCGCATTGCTGTAGAGGTGATTCATGCAACAGTGTTTTTCAGGCAGAAATGGGCTGTAGTGATGCTTGACACGTCTGCGGCATGTACGATAGGTAACTCATTGGCCATGTTCAATTTCTGTTACATTATAGAAATTATTGGTATTGAATTAAATGTGCATATAATATCTTAATTGTAACTAACAATTCAGGCTGTCATAGGCCATATTTTTCTCTCAGTGTTGCATATTTATCAGCCCCTAGCTCATTTGATGGAGTGATTTTGCACTGGAGAACTCCCAAAGTCATGACCACGCTGGTGCAGGACTTCCCTGGGTTTGTAAGCAGGAGTATTGAGCTGGGTGTGGATGCTCGGCTCTTGGACGAGGCCACCAGGAAAGCCATGGGTTACGTACTTGGAGAAGATGGGCAGGTGGTGCAAGTATCAGTGCCTTTTGGTGCACCAGGAGGTTACAGAATGGTATGTACTGGACAAACCAATAACTAATGTTGTGTATTTATGCAAAAGAAAAAGAAAGAAAATCAATAATTGTGTCATGTTTGTTGCAGAGCTTAGTCGAAAATAATGTTTATAAAGAGAATTACAAGGCTTTCCTGTGCTATGAGCACATCTATTCGCATGTGTTTATGGATGATAATGAAATAGAGACCAGACATCGCCAGCTACGAGTTATGGAGACACCACTAGTTCCTCGGATTCCTTTCGCTATAGATGGTGAGATTATTATCATACCATTATACAATAGACTGATATTGATTTATGACTGATGCAGATTATTTTTCTGATAACCAATAACAGCTTATTGACATAACTAAATTATACTTATTATAAAATACTAAAAATGTCATGCGTGATGATTAATAATACTTATTATTATTATTATTATTATTATTAATTAGTTTATTTGATCTAGATGATTGCAAATTTATTTTAGTCGTGTTATATTTTTTGCCCTCTAACAGAAACTGTGCCTCATGAAGAAGTGTTCACTGTATATCTTGGTAGTTTTGCTTCGGATGTGGAGCTCATTGCAATCAAACTGAATGAGAACAATCTGTCAGTAACAGATGCCATTCAACAGCATTACCTCATTACAAAAATTCCCCACATCAATGGGACCCGTGGCTTCATCATTAAGGTTCCTTTTGAAGATAAATCTGTTAACAGAATGGTGAGGGTTTTTCTTTTATCTATCATTCCCACAGTACTATATTTATTACTTGTATTATTACAAATAAAATCTAATTTCTAATTGACAGTATTTGGGTGAAGGACTTCTCCAGTACTCTGCAGAAATGAACTACACCCTAAATATCATCGAGCGAAACTACACATTTTTCCACCATGTCTCTGTTGTGGCACATGTTAATGATGCTTGTAAGTCTTAAAGAGTTAATGACCTTAAATTACATAACATGCAAGTGACCAACAATCTAAGTTGTATTTGTTTCCCTCTCATTCAGTCCCTCCAGATGTCACTGCTTTCTGTACAGCACAGAGCATATTATTCAGAATAAATCATCCGAAGCAAGCTGGACTTTGGGAGGTCTGTGTGGGGCATCAGGCTCTCACATCTGACTTATCCAGACCGAAGGGATACATACTGAAAAACGACAGTCAGAGTATGACTCTGGAGGTCCCACTCTTCACATCGGGCTACATTTATGAGGCAAAGAAAAACATTTGTCGTTCAAATAACATGTTGACTTTCATAATGTCATGGCAGTCTTGATTCAGATCTCCTTTTGTTCTTAACATTAGTATAATACATTTGAGCTATAACAGCATCTGAAAATAATTTTGGCAAAAACAAAATGTAAATGCATTATAAACGGAAGTGTATATAGGGTTATTTACTTTTGTGCATCCAAAAATTAAGTTATATTAAATACATACATAAATACTAAAAATAATTTTAAAGAATAATTAATGTAAGTTAATAATTATTTTAAACCTAGAGCATACTTTTAAACCTAACATTTTAGGTTTGTGTTTTTCCAGGACATTACGTTGAGAAACTTTGTTGGCACTTTTGAAATTCTTATAAGAGACTCGAAGACTCTGGAGATTCACAAGAGAACAACAAAGCACTGTTACTTTCAGACTGAAGAACTAACAGGCAAGACACCATAAAATGCTAACAGGGTTTATAAGCTTTAAAATGTTATCTCTCCACTAATAAACAATAATTTCTATTGTTCTAGTGTGTTCCACAGATGGAATGATGACCGTGGTGGCAACTACTACAAAAACCTGGCCAACAGTGCCACCTAGCAGCACAACCCTTCTAGACAGAAGATGCAGACCCAAGGCAACCGATGAGACAAGGGTCATGTTTTCTTTTGGTGTGGATACATGTGGAACTAGATTAATGGTAAATGCATAAATTGACCTTAGTCATATACAACCAACATGTGTTTAAAAGAAGTCTCTTATAATCATCAAGGGGGCTGAATTTATTTGATCAAAAATACAGTAAAAAATTTTTTTGAAATGTTATAATTTAAAAATAACCTTTTTATATTTGCAGTTCTTAACAAATTTATTAGACCACCACCACCCAATGTAAGGTTTGTGCCGCAACTGCCCTAAACTAGCAGTATTGGTGACTGATTACAAAATCTTTTTTTGATTCTGTGAAGGTTAATCCACCAGTATGTATAAGCTCTTTTGTCATAGTTGTATTTGTAATGCTAAAATATGATTATTGTTGTTATCCATTAATTTTCAAATTTACTGTTTTACAAGAAAGGCAGAAGAATAGTAAAACACTTTATTATTATTATTTTTTTTTTTTTTTTTTTTTATTCGGATGCCCAATTACAGTCAATAAATGTATTAAACTGTACATATATTTGAATATATTTTAAAATTCAGTTTATTCCTATGATGCCCAAGCGTAATTTTCAGCAGGTATTAGTCCTGTCAGGAGTGCCCCATAATCCTTCAGAAATCATTCTGACATGCTGATTTGCCTTTTTTTTTTTTTTTTTTTTTTCAGAATACTTTGAATAGAAAGTTCAATAGGACAGCATTTATTTGAAATAGAAATCTTTTGCAATAATAAATGTCTTTACTGTCACTTTTAATCAGTTTAATGTGTCCTTGCTGAATAAAAGTATTCATAAAAAAAAAAATAACTTACTGGCTTAAAACTTTTAAGCAGTAGTGTATATCTATTCACTGATGGATATGTAATCTGTATCCTTGTGTAGTTGGGTGACGGCTACATTGTGTATGAAAACGAGGTCATTTCTGATGGAGGTGTCATAATTGACCAGGAATCAGCCATTACAAGGGAATCAAAATTTAGGTATTTGTCAATATATGAAACTAGTAAATACGTGAAAATTGAATTAGGCTAAATACGATTGATCTTTGAAAACAAAAAAATTCTGATCAGCTCCTTTTTTTTCCTTCTGAATATTTCAGGCTCACTGTGAGATGCTTCTATGCACTTGACTCTGTTAAAAAGGTTTTTACATCCAGAGTGTTTGAAGGACCTGGATTTGGTACAGTCAAAATTACAGACACTACAGTTGTAAACGGTTAGTACTAACACTTTCTATTACAGGAAAATTAATCAAAAGAATTGCTTTAATTTATTTTTTCTCTTTGTATCTCTGCATAACCTACAAGGACTACAAGGAAACCTTATCAACTCTCACGCAGCCTCTGTTTTTGACCCTAAACCGTGGCCAAACGACCTTCCTTATGAGCCTGGCAGAGGCTGCTGTTCTACAGATGAGGAGGAGACACAGTTTCTACAAAGAGGACTTACACACCATGCAGATCCCTCATCAAATCAAGGCAGGAAGACATCAGAACACAATTACCACGCCAGCAATATTCCCTATCCACACAGACATGCCCAACTCTTCAAGCAATCTAGTGTGCAGTTTAACCCTCAAACGATTATCAAACACAGTTCTGGTCCATCTATGACACCTGCAGGGCAGCAGAACTCTTTTGATGGCTTGTTTAAAGACTACAGATCTTTCCTGGTTGACGTCCCACAGAAAAGTCCTATGAAAAGGACTGGTCAAAATCAAGACAGTTCTGTGATGATTGGTGACGACAGTTCTGCTTCGGCTTTCTACAGAGGATCAAAAAATGCATCACACGTCATAAATGAAACCTTGCCTTCCATTTTATATTCTCTCATTGCCATCAGTAATCCAACAAACTACAATCCAAATAGCAATAAAGTGAGTGACCAGCTTTTCCTGAAAGAATACATGGACCATTACACTCCTGACGGTGATTTTCAACACTCCCCTGATCATTTTAATGAGTTGATTAACAATCCGTCTACAAAAGATTCTTCTCTCTACACTGAAAATATTATTTCTAAAAAACATGAAGCAAGCGAAGGTGAACGGGGCCAAAAACATTTGGAAAGTTACATACTTGCCACTGAAAGCAGTGCTCAGCCATTTAAAGAGCACGGGTTGGAAAAAGTAGGCCTTTTAAATGTAGTAGGCGAGCACAACAATTTCATCCATGAAGATGACGACGATAATTCAAAGAAATTAGCTTTTTTGCATACACAACAGCAAAAAGAAGGTGAAGATGGGCATTTTCTTTCTGATCATAATCTTTTAGCGGTAAAGCCATCATATGACAAATTGAGAGGGACCCTGTTCTTCCCTGGTAGCAGAAGCCGATATGGTTCCAGCATTCATAAAGGAATAATAACAGGTAATTTTCCATTGCTAAATTATGTACAGTTAAGTAACATAATACAACAGTAAATTTAAGCAATCTGTTTACAATTTGTCAAATTTTAAAATTAAAACAAAAGTTTACATATTCTAATACTGAAACCACACATTCTTTTCTAGGATGACCATGGAGGCTGTTTCTTGTCATGATGAGGAAAGTGCAATGAGATTTGACATAACATGACAGTCCCAGGTGGAAAAATCAAGCCCATTCAATCTGAGGGTGTATTGTATTTGTCCAGTCCTGGCATACTGCTTTTGCAAATAAAATGCATTGTGATCACTAACTGTCAAATTAAGTTGCAATTTTTCTTGGTTAACAACACAACAACACAAAAACTATGTTAAGATCTGATTAAGTCCAAATGCATGCTAAACCAAAATGCTATCTCATCTCGCACTTATATGAAGAACTACTAAATAATATATATCCAAATAATTTACAACCTTGGAACTAACTAACCTGGTGCTAACCTGGGAACTATTACATGAATAAGTTTAGGAGGAGGGGAGGAGGGGGGTATTTCTCCATTTAATAAAAAACTTTTATTTTTAATAAAGTGAAATTGATAATGAGTGTGCAATGTATTAGAAGGTTGTGGTACTAGCCTCTGCTGATTATGATCAATCTGAAAAATTAAAATTTTTACGTAATAAATCTGACCCTGTTGCAGAGGCGGACAAAGTACTCAACTCCATTACTTGAGTGAAAGTACAGATACTGCTGGTCAAATATTACTCCATTACAAGTAAAAGTTGTAAAGACAGATTTTTACTCAAGTAAAAGTACAGAAGTACTTGCTTTTAAAAGTACTTAAGTACCAAAAGTACTCAAGTAAATGTACTTAGTTACTGTCCGCCTCTGCCCTTTTGCTTGCCAAATTCCACATTCACAGATCCACATATTTCAATTCTAGACCTCTCTTTTTTTGCATTTTGAAAGAAATCGAGGAATATCTTACATCAGTTAAACTGACTAGAAACAAAAAAAGCTTTAAAAACATTGCCGTTGCCACTGGTGCCCCTCAAAAGGTGAATGATGCTGGTCCCAACGGTGTTTAGGTTGAAGTGAACAGCTCTTACCATCAGCGGACACGAACTGGCCGACAGCTGAAGACACCCCTCCACTGTTTTCCACAAACTGAACCTCAGATACGATGATATTATCCTCCAGAACCGACCCACAGGCTGTGCAGACGGCACTCCCCCGGGCTGGGTCTGTGTCGATGTCTGCTCCACCACAGCTCTTACACTGACGACTCATGCTGGCAGCAAGATTCAGACCTGAGGAAGATAACATGAGCACCATTACTGAACAAGAAACGTTTGACTAAACACACATTATCTATTTGGCAACGTCAGTTTATTATTATTCAGATATCACAATAAGATACTTAATAAAATGATACAGAAACTTGTAATAAACTCGTGTATGATAAAGTAAACTACACAACACGTCCAGATCGGGGTTTGAACCCGGGTCGCCAGATCACAAACCTCCCTGACAGTCCACTTCGCTACGGAACACAGAACCTTCGTTTCAACACCACACCTACTTGAGCCACTTTCACTGTCGTTCACGTATCATTTTTGTTTTACATATTAGGATTATCTTTATATTAAAATGATCTCTATTGTATATTTCTAGTGTCTATAAACCTTGCTAAGCTAATGTTTTGATATGTGCACATATGCTACCAAATGAAAAGCTAGCTTGCATAAGACCTGTGATACAAATGTAAACATAATACAAACAGCCCATTTTATCCTTTTATTCTTTATTTCATATCATAAAGACACGCATAAATTTAAGACATTAACGCTAGCCTTCAACAGCAAACCACTCACCGGTCAAAGGAAGTAACGTTAGAGACTTTAGATCAAACACTATCAAGCAATATCCAGTGTCCACCAGTCCTATTTATTCCCAGGTTTCACAAACTGCATTCACTGAGCAACATGTTTAAAAGGACTAAATTCATTTTTTGATGGTCATATATTTCATTTGATACATAACACCACTCATACTGTTGTGACTTTCTACCCAACTGCGATACAACATTTGCGGGCTGCTATGAAAACTGAATATAGAGGGGTGGCCGCTACGCCACAGTTCTTCTTTTAGTTATTTTTGCTTAGTTTATTTAACTAATATGTGTCCTTTATGGCAGAATAATTTTTTAGGAAATATTAATGATAAATGTATCTTTTATAATCCCAGTTATTCGACTTGGTTAAACACTTTCATTCAAGACACCCCCATTTTGATAATGCACTGGTCCGGTGGCAGACCGCGGTCTTAAAGCGCGATAGTATGAAGGGAGTGTGTTGTTTAGCCGATATGCTATCGCACTCTTTCTCTTATTGGCTTGATAAAACAAAGTATTGTTCGTTATATTTGCAGTCGCTTATCTGTCTTTGAAATATAAACAGCACTAGGCAAAAAATAATACAATCGGTAATCGATTGTATTTAAGACTTTGACTTTGTCAGAGTTGCTGACCGGGAAGTAAATGTTGTGCAGTTCAAAATGTGTGAAGATAGTTTTAGTGAGTTAAAGTAACAATTAAAGGTTATTTTATTAACGTTATACTGTTGAAATTGAGATTAACGAGAGGTGATGGAGTGGGAACAGCTTGATCTGAATCCAAGGATTATTGCTGCTGTTAAAAAAGGTTGGCGAGCAATCAATCCACCTTAAGTACACTGAAGTCGAATTCGCTTCTTGTTTAATGTCATTTTATTGCTCAGCCAATTTTAGGTCAGCCAGGGAGATCCTCTGTGTCTCTGGTCCAGATTTGCAGAGGCTGACGCGCTTGTCAAAGACTGATGTTCAGCGCCTGCATTGCGCTGTAGCGGCTGCAGTCCGCAAGTCCAAGCCGGTCACAGGTGGGCTTCGCTGATTGCAACCAGATTCAGCTATTTTTGAAGCAAAACTATTGTTTTAATGTATTCGCAGCTTTACAGCTGATCCGTGGAGAATGTCCTGTTTTGGAGGCCGGAAACAGGCTCTCTTTTTCCTGCCGCATTCTGGACGGTCTGATGCGTGGTGGTCTCCCGTTACGAGGAATAACCGAGCTGGCAGGCGAGAGTGGTGCTGGAAAAACTCAGTTCTGTTTGCAGCTTTGCTTGTCTGTCCAGTACCCGCAGGAAAACGGAGGGCTGAATTCAGGTAAGGCGACTTTTCCAGAGTCAGGTTTCGGTACACCGGTCACGTCCGAATCTGGAAGAGTGATCACGATGTGTCATACTTTTCTTCTTTGTTACAGAATAGAAACGAACTGTTTGAAGGAATTGAATTTCCCCTGAATAACTTACTGGAATTGAAGCATATAACCATTATAGAGCAGTGGTTCTCAACTTTTTCGACTTCAACCAAGTTGTTCATGATTTACTTGATACGTATTTGTTTTTAGTCAATTTCTACCTGATAAAATAAATACTTTATAGCAATTTAAGATTTTATTCATTTCCATGATGTCTAGAAAAAAAATTCAGGTCTTGAATTCACACTTTTAGAATGCCCTGTATTATCCAGGTTTTCCAAGATAGTTGAGGGAGGTCAATTAAATAAATATCTTGATTGTTTTATGTTATTTTAATGCTTTTTTAATTTTAAATCATTTGAAGTCATCTTGAGGCCCCCTTAGAAGTTGTCTGTGGTTCTCTAATGGGCCTTGGCCCCTTGATTGAGGACCATTGCTATATATTGCTGACTATCAGAAACGCATCGAGTAGAGTTTGAGATCTCTTCTGAAACTGGCAACGTGAGCAGGGGCGCTGCTAGGGTTTCTGGGCCCCCTGAACAGCATATTGACTCAGGGCCCCCTCCGCGATCGTGTTCCAGGGTGGGGGTGCCCCTCGGTAAAAATCACGTTCCGGACCCCTGTCCCTCGTCTGGCCCTTGGAATCTTCCTAGCCTTCCTCCCAAACACCCCCCTCACCGTGCCCCTGAACGTGAGATTACTGGGGTGGAAGGAGAGTTGAGAAGAAAGAAATCATTTTGACAAATTTTTGCTTAACTGATGTATTAAATCACATTTTATATGGTAATTTAACAGGAGCTGTTTATATTTGCACTGAGGATTCTTTCCCTATCAAACGACTAAGGCAACTCATTGCCCTGCAGCCCCGGCTCAGACCAGATCTGCCACCAGCTCTGATCCACAGTCAGCGTTTTAGCGACAACATCTACATCGAGCATGCAGTTGACCTGGTGAGACTTGCAAACATTTATAATAATAGCCAGTTAATAACCATCAGAAAGCACTTAATGCTGGTTGATATGTGAGCAGGAGGCTCTGCAGGCGTGCGTGTCTCAGCGTGTGCCCGTGCTGCTGAAGCGAGGGCTGGTCAGACTGCTGGTGGTGGACTCTGTGGCGGCTCTGTTTCGCAGTGAGTTCCAGGCTGATGAGGCTGTACAGAGGTCACGCCACCTGCTGGCCTTTTCCAACACACTTCACCGCCTGAGTCATGAATATGGTGCACCTGTAGTCTGCGTCAACCAGGTTAGACTGGCATCTCATTTCTAACACCTAACCAGAAATACTATACAATATGTTCTGCGAACGCCATTGATCTTATCTTATCTAAACATAGAAATTGTTCTTATGCTGTTTCTCTGCTCCAGGTTACAGATGTTGTGGACGGACCAAATCCAGGACGGTGCGACTATGGGTGAGTGTGTTTGTGTCAGTTTAGCCAGCAGCAAAACGGCCCATATACAGTGGCAAGAAAAAGTATGTAAACCCATTAGAATTGGCTGGTTTTCTGCATTAATAAAATGTCATCTGATCTTCATCAAATTCCCAAGTATAGAAAAACATGATGTGCTTAAGCTAGCAACACATAATCAACTCTTATCTTTCATGTCTTTTATTGAACACATCCCAGTAAATATTCACAGTGCCTTAAGCATATTGTGCTTTTCTATACTTGGGAATTTAGAAAGATCCGATTACATTTTATGCTCAGCTCATTTCAGAAGGTTTGGTGTAATTACAAAACTGGACCAATCATATTTAGAGCTTCTGAAGCTATATAATAAGTCGTTTATAACTTATCATATACAGGCTGGTGGGCAGTAAGGTGCTTCCTGCATTGGGCATCGCTTGGGCCAACCAGGTAATGGTGAGACTCATGCTCAGGAGACTGGTGGGGCAAGTACAATCAGACAGCCGAAGCAGTGCTCCTCGAAAATTAGAAGTGGTTTTCGCCCCACACCTCCCTCGAGCGAGCTGCCTGTGTGGGGTTTGGGAAGAAGGAGTGAGAGGGATCCCTGATGACCACTCAGACCTGCAGCCGCAGGGCTCTTCATGATGAATTATCGGCAGAAGGAGCAGATGGAGAGGACTACATTCACCACAACATGGCAGTTAACAGCTGCTAATGGACATAAATGTTATGAAGAACATTTTAATGTTTTTGTGATTTTGTGAAGAATGGCTAAATGCACATTATTATTATTATTAATATAAAAATAAATAGTTATTATTATTATGCCTTTGATGCGCATAATAAATATTTTCCTTATTATATGTTGTCACAGTTTTAATACATATGGTTACAAGCAGCCATAAATAAGGTGAATAAAAGCCTAATTGTCACCTCACAGCTCCCCTTGAAGAGAACAGGGCTGTGTTTCCCAAAAGCATCGTAAGCCTACGTAGATCATAGATCCAATGCCACCAATGGCCTCTACGATCTACTTATCTCACGATGCTTTTGAGAAAAGCAGCCCAGGTTGTTTTGTTCTCCCATATCAGAAAACAAAGTAAATTCAATTTGCTTTATAACTGTCTGGAGTCCAGTCACTCTTCGATCAATCTACTGACCTACTACACTCAAAACTAGGACAGATAGCGTTAGTTGAGACTAGGCTATGACTTGATTTTTAATTGTTCTAGCTTATTTTAATGCTTTTTAAAATTTGTAATCATTTTAAGTCATCTTGAGGCCCTCTTGGAAATTTTCTGAGGTCCCCTAATGAGCCTTGGCACCCTGGTTGAGGACCACTGCTATATATTGCTGACATTTCAACTATCAGAAACACAGAGTAAAGTTTGAGATCTCTTCAGAAAATGACAACGTGAGATTACTAGAAGGAGAATTGAGAAGAAAGTAATAGTTTTGACAAATTTCTGCTTAACTGAGTATTAAACCACATTTAAGCAGTGAAGAGAACCGGTTGTTTTGTTCTCCCATATCAGACAAAGCAAATTCAATTTGCTCTATAACTGTCTGGAGTCCACTCTTCGATCAATCTACTGACCTACAACACTCAAAACAAGGCCAGATAGCATTAGTGGAGACTAGGCGATGACAAACAGAGAGGCGAATACTGCATTTTCTTTCTCTTTCTTCCAGAGAAATGTACTGAGTTTTTCTACAATGTTTTCATGCCATGGTGTGCCCCAGTATTAAACGCTAAGAGTGTGGCAAAAAGGGTCATGTGACAATGTAAAATTCAAATTTTGACATTTTAATTTATTTAATGTTGCACATGATCCTTCTTAACATGAAATCAGTGTTTTCTATTTGGGGAAAGACGTTAGGAGTCACTTGTGACTATGTATGTTGTGTTGAAAGCCATCGTCACCAGCAGAGGGGGCTGAAATCCAACAAAACTCACTGTGTACATGCCACATGGGATTGCCCTGATAGATCTCATTATTGACAGTCTGGCTTGCCACTGAAGTGAAGGGGTAGATAGAGCAATGATAACAATGACTGATCCACAGCAAGAATTAAAACCTCGAGGGATGGCAGTGATCTTTGTGGTTGGCTTGAGACGATGAAATAAATATGCCTTATTTTAATAATCTAAACACTACTTGTTTTAATATCTGAGTTTGACTCAATGGGCCAATGTTTAGCTGTTTAACATCACCTTATTAACTATGCTAACCGAATTAACGGCACTGACTGCCATTAAAAAGTTCACATGTATTCATATAAAAAACACTACCGTTCAAAAGATTGTGGTCTGATTTTTTTTAAAGAAGTCACTTATGCTCACCAAAAACAGTAAAGACTAATATTGTGACTATAACTGTAAAAGTGTAAAATGTATAGTGTAAAATAACTTTTCTATTTTAATATATTTCAAAATGTACTTTATGTGATGCAAAGCTGAATTTTCACCATCATTACTCCAGTCTTCAGTCGCATGATCCTTCAGAAATCATTCTAATACGCTGATTTGCAAAAAACATTCATTATTATTATTATTATCAATATTCAAGTTAAGTGAAATTTATTGTCATTCCACTATATGTGGAGACATACAAAGGAACAAATATTGAAAAGCTGTGCTGCTTAGTATTTTTGTAATAATTCTTTATATTAATACTTTTTTCTTTTTCAGGATTCTTTGATGAAAAGAAAGTTTAAAAGAACAGCACTTATTTGAAAGAGTAATCTATTTGTAACATTATAAATGCCATTTTATGCATCCTTGATGAATAAAAGTTTTCGTTTCTTAAAAAGACATGTACGAAAGAAAGGTATGAGTACCCAGTTTGTACATGGAGCTCCTATGTTTTCCTCTGCTGCCTTTCACATCACTTCATCAACTGATTTATGAAACATGCTGGGTCTAGTACTGACTCAACACTGCGGCCCAAACCATATTGCAGATCTGTGAAAACCCCCGAGTCATCCAACTCCATTTCACACTGTTTTTCACAGTACATTTAAAACAGGATTTTGCAATGTACATCCTCTTCAGTTCCATATTTCAAGATGTTTCTAAAAACGAAAGTGCAAAAATGCATGGCAGTGATTAAAGTCCAGCTACACAGAAAGGGGTTTTTGAATAGGCCTATAATCCTGTGAAGCTACTTAACACACACACACACACATGGAGCTAGTCTCTTTATCAACTTCAGAAAATAATGAATATTAGTGCACATAAACAAACGCACTCATATGCAACTAAATGCTGTGAGCGGCGACGATCACATGGGCTGTCTGTCCCAGATTGTTTGACCACCCCCACCCTCGGTAAGACAAGCTCCATCTATCGCACTGCAACCTCAACTACCGCGCTGATGAAAACCTTGTTATGTAACTCTGCCGGTCTTAACGGGCTACACATAGACAGGCTTTCAGAATACATGCATAACCGCCCACATCTGCCACCATCTTCAAAATGACTGCCAGGCTTTGAGAGCTCCTCACACATCAAGCAGTCTTAACCCGGACTCTGGTTTGTCAGGGAGGCGTCTGTTAGTATGCATTCCACATCTATTCGTCTCAGCCAGGGCATCAGAGAGATGGATGCAGTGACTGCAGGCTGCAAGGCCCCCTCTCTCTGTCATACAAAACATGCATATGGCCATCTTGGGGAACAGGAGTAGAGGAGGAGGAGTAGAGGTGTGTATATATATATACACACACACACACACACACATAAATATTAGACTATACTCTCACTATTTATTTACAAAAAAAATGCCTCATGGAATAGATTTTTAGGGGCATATTTACAAGGCTTTTTTCGGTTTTGTATCAGGTTTTTTTTTTTTTTTTTTTTTTACCAATTCTCACTGTTACCTACAAAATCAAATCAATACTGTCACAGCTGATTTTCTTTCTCTTTTTTTCTGCCGTTTTTGGTAATACATTTCACTGCTTTAAGGAGTTGATTGAGCACTGTCACATTTAGTGCTTTAGAAGATGATTTTTTCTTTCTTTCATTAAAACACTTCATATTAGCTATAATATTCAACAACACTGACCTCAGAGACAGTAAATATAGCCTACAGGTCATTGTGTTGTTTGCAGAGGAACTAAATCCATGACTATATGGCCTAGAATAGAAAAAGAAATTAGACAACAGGTAAAACAACTTGAGGAATTCATTTCAGTGACATTTTTGCCCTGAGCTCTGGTTCATTTCTGACCTTACCAAGAGCTTTAAATTAGGATAGCACATTTACAATGTGCTGGCATCAGTAGATTGAATCAGATACAAACAAATTTTACTCAGACACAGAAACAGAGCTTTTCTGAGGAGTTTGGGAAAATCTGACTTATTCCGAGAATATTATCACGTCCCAGCTCCCATCAAATGAGTCACAGCCGCACCCAGATTAGCTCTTCAAAACCACAGATGTGAAAGAATGAGGTCATAAAGTATACACACAGTATGTGTGATGAATATGAAAGACAGTGATTAGTACAAAAGTCAAAAAGAATAATGAGAGTCTGAATATGGCTTTTATGGCAGGAGACAGGCAGCAGCTGGTCGGTTACTAAGACAACCAGGATTAGTCCTGCGCCACTGGCCCTCAGCTGCGCCACAGACTCTTTCTCCAGGAGCTCTGAACTCCACCTGGCTCAAATCATCATTTATATCATATAATTTTTGTCAAAATATACACATTTCATGTAACAATTATTGTGATAACGCATACTGTACCTAAATACAACTTGTTAACAATATTGGTCTACACAGAAACAGAGAACCGATAACAACTCAGTGTCTGGCATAAGAGAGCAAAAACGTGCTTGCTGGTTCAACATATTAGTCATTTATGACACTGTAATAGAGAAAACAATCTGGAAGCAAATGTAAACAAACAAAGAGGTAAGGACAGGAGAGTATGACATCATCAGTAGTGATGCAGAAGGGTGCAGTAGCAGAACGCCACCACAGGGGGAGCAGTGAGTTTGAATTGAGAGTGATGACAATACAAGTTACACTCTTAAAAATAAAAAGGGTTTTCACAGTAATGCCATAGAAGAACCATTTTGGGTTCCCCAAAGAACCCCTCAGTGAGCAGTTCTTAAAATAACCTTTTTTTTCTTAGAGTGAAGACAATTTTAGATGCCAAAAAAGCCTTTATTTTTAAGAGTGTATTTTCATGCTAAACATTTCATCTTTTTATTTTGTTACTTGTTAGAGGCTTCAAAGTGCTGTAAAGAGCAAACTCAAGTAAACTGAGCCACTTACTATTGCCTATATAGAGTATCTGTCGCTGAAACAGCACAACAAGCATAGCTAAAACATTTGTGACACGACAAACAAGTAATTCCAGCCTACTGTGTCAATCCAGACAAGATTCAAGTGGACTAAAAGCAGCCTGCATTAAAATTGGCCTGTTCTGTTGCTTTCTTTTTTTCGTATTAAAAAGCAAACAACTAAACTGGTTCTAGATCAGCTCACATGCCAGCATGTGAACTACTGACTGAGAGTATTGTCCAGTGGCAGATGAAACAGTTTCAGATACACAGTAGTTTAATTCAGAAAAGCAGGCTGGGTTGACCCATTATGCAGATTTTGTAGAATGGGGGGTTTGCACTCCGAGACCCTCGTTACTGAACTAGGTCACACTTTGTCATGAAAGCAAATAATTTAATTGAAAAGAAAAGAGAAATTAACAAACAACGCTGTCAGCAATTTGTGCATGTTGGACAAATAATTGATTGAGCTAATACTGAGAA